TGTACAGTGTACAGCTCACCACCTTGGTTCGGTGGAACGCAGCAGGCGACCACTTGAAGAGTTTTGGCTCCAAGAAACCTTGGCTGCAGCATCACCTCACGAGGGTGATGTCGGCTCGACGAGCCTGGCTGTCAAAGCAAAATGCATGTTCGTCGTCTGGTGCGTCGCGCATCGTCGCGCCCTCAACTGATTTAGTTGAGCTGGAACCCCTCTTGGTGCACCGAGGTACCTGAACCAACTGTCGAGGAGACCGTCGCACAGCCGAGTTTGATTTTGCATGTGTTTCTAGCAGTTTGTCAAGGGCTGCCGCATACGGCCGCATACCTCTCGAAAGGCTTTTTGTGCAATCGCAGGTCTTGTAGAATCAGTTGATATCAGTTGGGGTTAGCAGAAGCACCGTTTGGTGACATCAGAAGCTGTGGCATGTCCGTTGTACCAGGACCGAAGCATCAAGTGCACCACTGCCGTGGTTGTGGTTGTGGTTGTTGTTGCCGCTGCTGCTGCTGCTGTCGTTGTTGTTGCTGCTCTTGCTGTTGATGCTTTCGTTGCTGCTGCTGTTGCTATCGGTGTTGCTGTTGCTGTTGCTGTTGCTGTTGCTGTTGCTGTTGCTGTTGCTGTTGCTGATGTTGTTGCTCCTGTCAGGGCACAGCCTACACTGAAACATCCTAGACTCCTGCAGGTACGTTTCGAAACAACCCAGCTTTGACGACTTGACGACCCGGCAACCCTGAAGCCTCGACAGGTGACCATCCTGAAGGGTTTGGCACGGAAGTACGAGGCCCACCACCGACTGAGGCCGGAAACGATACGGCGTCGTACTTGCGAGGCTTTCGGACTAAGGAGTCGAGTTTCAGCTGGAATCTCGTCTTGTTTAGCATGTGGATTAGAGCTTGCGTCAGCTGCTGGGGTTTGTGGGAGGGTTGAGGCGGTCTTGGAAGTCTTAGAAGGGGCTGGGAACTTCACATGGTGTGACGCCTTGTAGGTGTTTCGCGGCTTTTGGTGATTTCCGGTGTGTTTTACGAATGAATGAGCGCGATTTCTCGTCATTTTCCGACACCGTCATCAGGTGCAGAATCGCATCCATTTCCTGAGTTTGTTTAGATGATTTTCTGTTGTCGGGGGGTTTGCGACATTTGATGATGTGTTGCAGCCCTCTGTTGCCTCGATTCTGACATCCTGACAGACTGGACCAGTAACCCGACTCCTCTTAATTCCAAACTGCGCAACCCCACGCGAAATACTGTCTGTCTCCGCCGACGGTTTTTTATCCTTGCGCCACAGACCATGTAGCACAGAACTCCGGATTTGGAGCATAGTGTAGCGGTGTGCGAAACCTTTAGATTTCATAGATCCCACACCTCTACCTCTGGATTGTACCAGTCCCGACCGTCAAACCTATACATCCAAGCACTCAAAGCTTCATCATTTGGAGTTGCGACTGAAGGGTTTTTCCAGCTTGTTGCTGCAAGCCTGCAGGTACTCGGAGGAGGCGTTGGAGTCCTGTGTGAAGCTGGCCTCGCAGTACATCCAGGAAACGGCTGCTGTGGGCTTGGGACTACTGCCGTTGCGGAGTTGTGTTAGGGTGATGACGTACATACCTGCACTTTTCTGAGACGACGCTGGGCTTCGGGTGGCGGTAGCAGCAGAGATCTGAACAACGTCTTTGTTGTCGTCACCGCTTGCCGCCGCCGCTGCCGCCGCCATCGTCGTCGTTGTCAACGACGTTGTAGCAATGGCGGTGATGTCATTGACCTGTGACGATTGTCACCGTCAGCACCGTACCAAGAAAGCATTCATAGCTGTGCTGATGGTGCTGTAAGGGATGATTTTACAATTGTTTGGGAGTTGTCCGGATCCTGGGTGATCGGAACAGCGAAACGACATGCATCAACAATCGAAACCATCATCCTCATCATCTTCATCATCCTCATCATCCTCATCGTTATCATCGTCATCATCATCATCATCACCATCATCATCATCATCATCATCATATTCTTCTTCTTCCTCACCTTCTTCTTCATCATTTTCATCTTCAGCATCATCATCAGCATCATCGTCATCGTCATCGTCATCGTCATCCTTATCCTCATCTTCATCTTCCTCATCAGCTTTTACTCATCATCTTGTTCTTCATGATCGGTATCACCGTGGTGCCATTGATGCAGTGTTAGTGGACCTTACCCTACAGGCTTCTTAACAAACCAACCACAATCTGCAAAAGATGTGCAGCAAGTTTCACGCCTGTTCTGGATTCCGAGATTTACAAGAAGACACGGGTCTAGAGCCACTGGAAGGCACCAGAGGTCGGTTCCACCATCTCTGCAACAATGACAGTTTATGTATTTCGGATGTTAGTTCGGAAGGCCATAGTGAAGTTTCCCACGTTGCACCCTTGCAGGACCGATACCTGCCAGACAAGGCCGCAGACTGAGCTCATCGAAGCGTTCCTGTTCTGTTGATCTCTTTGCGGTCTCGCGTCGTATGTCGCTCAAGTTGCCATGATGAAAATGACGATGAAGGTGCTGAAGATGATGACTATGACGGTTTCCGTCCGTGGAAGTCCTCCTCGTGGTGGTGGTGGTGGTGGTAGTAGCAGTAGCAGTAACAGAAGCAAGCAGCAGTAGCAGTAGAACTAGCAGTAGAACTAGCAGTAGCAGTAGTGGTAGCAGCAGCAGCAGCAGGAGGAGGAGTAGTAGTAGTAGTAGTAGCAGCAGCAGCAGCAGTAGTTGTTGTCGTCGTCGTCGTAGTAGTAGTAGTAGTAGTCGTGGTGGTGGTGGTAGTAGTAGTAGTAGCAGCAGCAGCAGCAGTAGTAGCAGCAGCAGCAGCAGTAGTTGTCGTCGTCGTCGTCGTCGTCGTAGTAGTAGTAGTAGTAGTCATGGTGCGGGTGGTGGTAGTAGTAGTACTAGTAGTAGTAGTAGTAGTAGTAGTAGTAGTAGTAGTAATAGTAATAGCAATAAGAGCTGTAGTAGTAGTAGTAGCAGAAGAAGTAGCAGTCGTCGTCGTGGCCTATCTTTTTTCAGACTTCGTGTTGTCAGAAATGCAGTGTTTTACAGCGTTTTTTGTTCTTGTTGTTTAAATTTTGGAAAGCTCAAGGGTTTTTGCTTATATTTTATTGTTTTTCGAACCTTGCTCTTCAATCTTGCAGCCAAGAATGCTGGTATTTACAGCACTTGTCGTTGAGATTTATTGTTTTTTGGCTGTTTTTTGAGGTCCGGATTTTCGTGCCCAAAAACTAGCGATCAGAATGATGTATTTTTGTCTAGTTTTGGTGGTCTCAATATTCATCCAAAGCGTTTGAGAACAGAGCAT